CCTCCTGCCTCAAGAGCCTTCACAACTTTTGTTTCTCTGCATTGAACACTCTTAGGCTAGGTATTTCCAAACCCTCCTTCACTCCCTTCACATTCCTGCCCAAATGCCATCAGAGTCCTCCTCTGGCCACCCTATATACTGTAGGAATCCCACACCCACTGCAGTATTTCATGTCCCTCTTATTTCACCTTATTTTTCTTAACATCATGACCATTATCAACAGCACTGTACATTTTATGGAGTTGCCTATCTTCTGTATCTCCTCACTAGCACTTAAGCTCCTTGAGACCAGGGACTTGACCTGTTTTGTTCACCATGGTATCCTCAGCACTGAGAACAGTGGCTTAATTGTACTAGGCACCAAATAATTATCTGTGCAATGGTATCAACTTCACTTATAATAATACATGCTCAGTGACCCTCCCTTTCCCATTTATCCAAGTCAATGAATTCAGTCACTTTACTTCCCTTATCCTCCCCTCCACCATCCCAAACTTGAATGGCACTGCCCCAAAGTAAAAAGGATCAGAGTCAGCAAGTCCTATCTTAGAATACTACAACACATCAATGTTTCTTGGACAAAGGGATAAATGCAGAATAGCTTTCACGTGAGGAGGTGTGTGGTTTCGCTAAGTTTATTTAATATAAATATGCCTTCCATATGGGTTTGAAAGGCAAAGGTAAGGGTAGAAACTGGACCTGGCATGACACAAATCACTAGGACACATGATCATATTTAATCTGTACAGGCATCTTGAAAAATGGAGAAAACTAAAGCTATTTCACCTAAGAGAAAACTAAGGCTCAGTGATATTAAGTTTATATCAGAGCAGAATTCAAAAATGTATCTTTCTGACTCCAAAATCTGTGGTTGTTTTAATACATCACCGAAATAAGACAATGAAATGTGTTGAACACAAGTGCAATTTCCTCGGAATTTGAGTATCGTTTTAAAGGTAACTCTTTCTAGAGAAATATCCTGATTCATTTCCAAAACTATTTATTCCATGCTCATTAATAAGTAATATATAGAAACTCTTAAAAATAAATTCTACTCTCCCTCATCTTTAGATGAATTATGCAAAATTTTAGCTTGCCCATGGCAAATTTTTGTTTAAAGTTAGTTTATTAACCAATAGCACCAACTATGCTTAATGAATTGTTTTGTTGATATTATTGACAGGTCATATTCTGCCTACTTAATTACTGTGTTCTAAAATAATCAATCTTTTTTGTCTTACCAAGGCCAAAGCAAATTATGAGACAAATAGATGCTTCTGTGCTCCTCCCATCCCTTCCTTGATAGAATCTGGCTGGAAAACAGAGAAACAAAAAAAGAAGATAGGCTTCAAGGAGAATTGCTTACTTCACAGTAGCCTGACCTCTAAAGGTCAATAACCAGAATCCAAGTAAGCCAATATCCATCCCAGTAGCCAATGTTCAGCTGGCTCTGGCCCACTGTTCTTAACCTTAGAAGTCAAGGAGATATTAATCACTTCTGTGTGCACCGTATTGAGTGCTTTCTACATTGTTATTTAATACTTACAATACGAAGACTTATTGTTGGCTCCAGTTTACAAATGAGATGTTGAAAACCTTGACTAAATTTAAATATAATGGAGCTAGAATCCCACCCAAGTCCATCTGATTCCAGGGTCTGTACCCTTGACTACTCAACTGTGGTTCAGGACAGGAATGTTCCCCGACAGAGAAGGCAAGAGCATCTCAATTCCCAGTGCTAGTCTGTGAAAGCAGATACTTCAGCTAAGTGATAGACAGAAGAGGACCATGATCTGCACCCCCTGACCTAGAGCAAGACACAACTAAGTGGGCTCAGGCTCTAGCTAAGTGTACCAGGACTCAAGACAGGCTCCAAATTCCAGTCAGGAGCTAGAATGCCAAAGCAAGAAAGAAGACAGAGGGCAAGACCTTCAAGTAAATGAATACAACAGGAGTAAGGAAATATATGTCAAGTATATATGTGCCATGGGTTCATGGTATCCCAGGCATACCAATCCCCTGGCGACATATATAACCTGTAATTTCACAGGGCAATATGTCTTGCTTGGGTAAAACACTACACACGGAATCTCAAAAGCTCCCGGATGGAGTTATATAAAAGGACCTAACTGCAGATAGAAGGTTGCCGAAGAGGACATTATAGTCCAACAAAAATTATCAAGACTCTGACACATACACATTATCTACTTCCCTCATTCCACTAATATTTCTTGAGAACACACTATGTACCAGACCTTCTTTGAGTTTATAGAGTTTTGAGATCCTATCCAAATTTGAATAGTCTAAATATGTGGTTTTGTTCATCTCTCCAGATTTGCACTTATTTGGAACCACCTTATTCCTGAGTTGTGTTTCCTCAAACTTGAATATAGTTGAAGTTTTCTAGGCAGAGGAAGAGAAGGGAATTCCAGGCCAGGAAATAAGTGGCATGAACAAAGAACCTAAAATGTGAAAGACCTCTATCTGTTTTGGGGAAAGGTCAGAAGCATACGTGGGTGAAAGGCAAAGTTGGGGATATGGTGAGGATGACAGAGTCACCATCTTTATTTTACCCTGTGGGGGAAATTTCAGATTAGGGAGGGAGATGATTTAGAAATAATTAGAGGCAGGTAAGGTTTTTGTGTTATACTTCATATCACACTCCTTCCACCTGGTCGCTTTAGCTTTCAGTCCATCTCATTCTCAATAAGAATGTGCTTTGAAATCCACTCATTTCAATTTAGGATCTGTTCCAAGGAAGGTCTGATTTCTGGGAGAAGAACCTGGATGGGTTCCCAGCTTCTCTTCAGCCCAGCCTTCATTCACAGCATGATTTCCTTATTCTCTTTGATGTGAATTTTCAGAACATCATTGGGTGTAACCGATATTCGAGCATAAGTTCAATAAACCCATCCAAAACCAAATTCAAATGTTCTCACAATACTCCTCATTTTAGATTGGCCATGTCTTGATCTGATTCACTCCCCAGATTTGAGAGTCTTCTTTTTCTGGCCATCAGAGCAGCCACAATAAATCAATGGTTGGCCCTATATAAGAATGCCCAATTAAAGAAACAAGTAAGGACTGAAATCCAGTACTAGTTCTGTTCTTGAAGTTGTGGGGCTGACAGAAGGCCATGTCCACCCTCAAATCCAAGTATCTGGCTTTTTCCATACAAAGAAACTATTTAGGCTATCAGAGGCCTTGTGGCCCAACAGGAAAAAATAGGCCTCTATGATGCACTCCTATTTCAGTCGAAAAGAATCATAACAAAAGAGAAATAATTTTGTCTAGAAGAAAATGAGTTGAATTCTAGCACAATAACAAAATGTGATTTTATGTAAAATAATACAGTGCACACAAATAAATGCCTGTTGTATAGTAAGCAGAACAATGATGGCAACTTGTTACTCTTATTACTATTATCATTATTATTATTAATTATATTATTATTATTATTTTCAGAGTATTGAGAGTATGTGTGTAATTGACTTACAGAGTTACAAATGAGGGGGCACCTGGGTGGCTCAGTTGGTTAAGCGTCCAACTTCGGCTCAGGTCATGATCTCATGGTCTGTGGGTTCAAGCCCTTAGTTGGGCAGCACAGAACCTGGAGCCTGCTTCCAATTCTGTGTCTCGCTCTCTCTTTGCCCATCCTCTGCTCATGGTCTGTCTCTCTCTGTCTCAAAAATAAATAACCATTTTAAAAAAATTCATAGAGTTACAAATGAATCTATGGGGCTAAGGTGATGGCAGTGTTTTAAGTTTTGCGCGGCTGGGAGAGAAAGTACTCCAGAGCTATATTATTCTTGTTTATTTCCAGGATGCTTAAAATGTTTCCTAATTGTACACAATATATAAATTCTAATCTCTCCAAATGGAAAACTTAGGGAGTGGGGACAAGGAACCTCTGACACTAAGTCAAGTGGTTGAGATCTGGTCTCATTTACTTCCTATGTGACCTTGAGCTGGTCATCTTACCTCAAGCAATTTTTACCTATAAAATCTGAGACTCAGACTACATGATTGAGGTTCTTCTCTCTCAAATTTTATGACCAAATCTACTCTTTGGCAGCTAAAAAATTTTAATGCAGGTTGTCTGTCCCCATATCTTACATATAACTGATTGCAAATGCCTAGAAGCTAAAATAAAGGGTCAAAAAAAGTGCCATCTGTTTCTATTACCAATTACATTATGAAGCTGCCTCAAGTTTTAAAAAAATTTAGTGAAAAACAGAAGTTGGCAGGAAATGTGCTGTAAACAATATCACCCCCACACATTTATTGAATAATTCATAACCAGTATGTGGTAGAAGCATAATTTTTAAATGACATTTTCCCCAAATACCTGAGTTTTCTGACATCAGTAGCAAATGATTTAGTTGGCACTACTTTGAAAACCACAGTGTTTAAAGATTAACATCTCAAAGTTAAATTTATTTTATTCTTATCAATTTCCTTTGAATCAATTTTACTATGTTGCACTGGAATGAAATATTTGCCATAATTGACTATCCCTCCTTATTACTCTTCATATATTCTTTGTACATATCCTTTATCCAGTGTTTTTCCCATTGAAACATTCCATTTTTCCTCACCAATGAGACATTTCACTTTTATTCAGACTGCATAAGGTAATCTTGCAATTTGATAAATCAATATAAGCATATCCTATTTAATTATAGAAGGAGAAGTATTACTTTAGTGATTTTCAGTCTGACACAATGAAAAGCATATTTGTTTCACTTTATTTTACCTACCTGGTCACTGCTGGCTCTACCACCTAAGAGCCTGGTGATATTGGTCATTACCCAATCTCTCCACCTTGCAGACTCCTTATCTGCCTGATGTGTAAACATAACAAGAGTTTTCAAAAGTAGAATTGATAATAAAATCATGACAACATATTAGGTCCTCAGTATTTGTTAATCATTATTTTTGTGGCAAGCGTTGTTTTATTGAAGCCCTTGTTGACCTATTCGGATTTGCTGCAGGTCCCCAGGATAGGGCTGACACAGAGCCTGGCTGAGGGGATGAGGATGGTAGCAGGTTCTGGAGACAAACTGCTTGACCTCAAACCTGACTCTGCCGCTTACAGGTTGGAAAGTCTTGAGTCAATTATGGAACTTCTTGAAGCTTGTTTTCTAATCTTCAAAAGAAGGATGGCAACAACACCTATTTTATTGGATTTAGTATGGGAAAATTGTTTAGACTAGAGCAAGCCACTCAGTAAGTGATCAACAAATAGTAGCACTTAAAATTATTTTTCTTTACTATAAAAGTAACACAAGTTTATTTTAAAACTCAAAAAAAGAGCTTTTTTAACTAGAATAATACAAAAAAAACCCTCAATTTGTTTTGCCCAAAATGACTGTTTCTCAGTTTGCACAATCCCAAATAAGTAGTCTATATTGCAGAGTCAGCCAAAATTCTCTATAGCTTTCTGCTAGCACCTCGTGTGTTCCCAACATGCTATCTAAACATTCCTTTTTCTTTCTATAATGATTATCTTATAGGAGAAAACCTCCACCATCTCTACAGAGTCTGAACTTCTTTTCTCCTTTTACAAACTAAAGAAGCAAACATGCATACAATGGACTGAAATGTAAAACTATTGATGCATTTTATTCTTTGGTCTGTGTTCGTAGTCCCGATTCTAGATACGTCCACAAACTGTATAACATCTGGCCGGAAACCTTTCCAATAATCTAGGTCTTTGGCATCACATTGACAAAGTTGGATGATTGATTGTTCCTGCCATTTTTTTTAATCCAGATGTTTGGATTTCCTGAAGGTCTGGCCCCAGTGTTGGTTTGTTCTTGGAAAGAGATTACACTGTGAGCATCTTGAAATTCAGAACTTCACTTGATAAACCTCCTCTGCGAGGTACCTGAGATAGAAATGCTTCTTGATTCGTTATATAACCAAACAGTTAATTGAAAAGGCATTGAAAGGATTTGAAAGATGCTGTACTCAGGAAATGTCTAGCAACAAGGCACAAAAATGAATAAACAATCATTAAATGGCACTTTCGTATTTTAGGTACAGGCTCCAGATTTTCATAGATTCAATTCATGGCCTGAAAAAGATGTGGTTAAATTTATCTTATGGTTGAATGGTGTTCTGTGTGCCTTGTTGGTAGTTCACATGAATTTACCCAAGAGTAGAAGTTATAAAGGATGGTAAAGCTCCAAGCCCCGTCCACAAAAATCTATTTAACTGGCAACAAAGCTGAATGTTATTAACCAATTCCCAGAGTTCTGCCTTGAGTCCTCTGGGTCCTGCTGTCCTGGGACTTTCAGACACTTAGTATCCTGACCCCTAAACTCCTCTAACTGGGGCCTTCCTCAGCTATAACCCCTGATCTCAGCAACTCCAGACCCTGAAGGCTGACCAGATGTGGAGAGTGGGGCCTCAGGGAGTCTCTGTTGCTAGGCAGCTCCTACCTCAGGAAAGCAAGATTTAAAACATGTGGACACACCAGTAATATTTACTGCCTTAATTTTCCCTCCAGTTTATACTCTCAGCATCTAATTTTATAACACCTGATATTTCCCACTTTTAATGTCTTTCTAGTTTTATTTTTTCTTCTCATTCTTTTTTTCTTCTTTTTGGTCAGTCTTTTAAAGACCAATCCGAGGAATTTTAATTTGCAACTATAAACTCACAGTGGTCCATAAATTTGGTTCCTCCTTCCCTAAAAGCAACAGATTGAGTCCTGGAATTAACAGTAGTTGACCAAAAATATGAAATATGTTGGTGATTCAATGTGAATTAAAGAAAAGAAAAAGTAAAGAAAACTCACATATATTGAATGTCACATTATCTTGAAAATGTATGCATTACATATCTTTACTCATTGTTTTCTGGTTCATTCTCAGCTCAGGCATCTATTCCCAGAGACGTCCCTTATCACATCTCCATCTCCAGCCTTATTATGTGTCTCTCCCCTGTTTCTATACTTCTATATGTCTCTTCGTGTAATTGTCCTTATCACATTGCATTCAAAATGTCTATTCATAGACCTGTCTCTTCAATTAGACTGCATCACTCTCGAAGGTAAGAACTTTGACCTATCTGTCCTCTTATCCCTAGCACTTAACACCTATTTATAGAAGGTGCTCAAAAGTTTTATGAATAAGTTAGCCTGTATGAGGCACCAAACATTATGCTTTATAAATATTGGATTTATAACATAATCTATAAATATAAGTATGTTAAAATGATAGGTATTATCGCATTTAATTTCTGCAAAAACCTTATGAAATGGGTACGACTATTGCCAGTTTAGTGAAGGTAAGTGAAGCAATCATCAAGGGTCGAACTAGAACTGAAGGCCAGGGGGAAAGGCCTCCAAAGCCCAGTGTTTCCCATTGTTTGTGTGAGCTATTGGAACTCCAGGATGATGCACGATTCACTTTTTTCAAAAATAAGCCCATCTACTTGTTCTCTTCCATTAACCCGTAACCAAGAATTAGTAAGATTTGCTTATAACCATCTTGTCTTAGACATTACACTTAAGAGTCTAGTGCACATTTTTCTATTGGTGCCCAGTGACAAGACTAACCATGTAGCTTCTGCATAATAAATGAGAGATAACACCATCAGAAATCTCACAGGTACCGAGTATGAGCTGCATAGGTTATATATGAAAAAACCCTACCCTCTTGGTTACATATAGAATCTGGATTTTGTCAACTGTTAAAAGGGTTTGGAGATAACGTGTCGATCCTTCTGGCCCTTGCGGGCACCATCATCATGAATTAATAGATGAAATATAGTCTGCACACACATTTGGAAAACACCACTGGCTTGTATTCTCTGTAGTTTTACATTTTCCAGCTACAGATTCCAGGATCAGAGAAGAAGCCTGGAATCATTAATAGCAACAGCTGAGAGACAGAAAAGCAGAGCTCACTCATTTCCAAATGGCAACAACATGCTTAGGAGAACAAGTTTCAAGACCCCAGTGCCCTGTCGCAGAGAGTGACAAGATTAAGAGATAAGACATTGCTGCCAAGGAGAGGAATCATCCCAGAGAACTTGGAAGGTGACTCCAAGACATATGGTCAGAGCATGAATTTCCAGTCAATCCTTTAGTCCAGATGCAAGCTGAGGCCGGCCCTTGTAGGACTGACATGAAAGCTCTAGATTAGCATGGAGTAAGAGACACCTGGAAAAAGTAGGCAAAAATCAAAGCTTGTCCCTCAGTGAAGAGAAAATCCGGCATGATATGGCCTAGCTAGGGAAGGAAGAATACTCTGGATTCCTGTCTAGCATGGAAGTTGCTCTCATAGTGTCTGAGGTCAAACTAAGCACTTCCATCCTCAGGGACCTAGTTTACTCAATATATTTGGATAATTAGATCATTGTGAAAAGGGACTCCTCCATGTCTACTCATTATAATCTCTGTGAATTTTTGACTCCAGCACTCTTTGTGAAATATGGCCCATTTCAGGATACATATGGAGGAAATCCATGTTCCCAGGTGATCTAAAGAATCTCATCCAAATAAAAGATCACATCCTCCTTCTCAGGTAATTCAAATTCCGGTGACAATTTCTCTGCTGGTGTATGTCCAGATTTAGCTCCCAATCAAGGAAGGTGTTTCTGTCTAATTCCCCTGCCCATTGTAAGTATAAAACCTTACCCTGCTAGAGGAATTGGGAATTGGACTCCTCAAATAAACAAAAATCCTTTATCTAAAATCTGATTTTTTAAAAAAGTAGGCTCCACACCCCAACATGGGGCCTGAAATAACAACCTTAAGATCAAAACCTGAGCTGAGATCAAGAGTCAGACACATAATCAACTGAGCCACCCAGGCACCCCCTGAAATCTGATTCTTTAGTGAAGAGGAAAATCTTTCCTTTACTCCAAGAGTAAGGTTGCCCACTCTTTCTCCCTTCCTCTTTCCCTGCTATCATTTTTTCTAAGTAATATAAGTGACAACAGGTTGCAGAATACTGTGCTTAGCATTAACACCTATGTACAGCTTAAGACTATAAATTCAAACAATATAAGAAGTTTTTTGACTACTGAGAACAAACAGTAAAACAATATAAACAAAAACTTCTCCTAAAAAATGTAACAAGATGCAGATTTTGCTAAAACTTTCTAAATGCCTACTATGTTATGCAAAGTGCATATGTGCTGTGATAGTGAAAACTTTTCCTGAGTTGCAAATGATGGCAACCCAACTTCAACATATAATGCATGCAAAGTCAAAGGAATTCATTAGAAAGCCTCCAAGGAATTGCACCAAACCCAGAGGGAAAAGAGCTGGGACTGAGTTTCTTTCTGACCCAGACCATTTTGTAGCAAACCAGAAAAGGTCTTCTCTATTCCAGCTTGTTTTTCTCTGTTTATCTGCCTGATTCTTCTTTCTAACTGCAGACCTTCCTCTGTGTATAAGTTCACAGCACAGACCATGGCCACCAATAATCACTGAGTTGTATGCTGTACCATACAAGTACTCAGAGGGAGACATCTCTCTGTCTCCCAGGCTGTCTGTTTCTGTCTCTCTCCTTTAGTTTCCATCTAGGCCTTAAATGACTCACTGAACTAATTAGTCCAAAATTAGGCTTGAAGATAGTAAACTACCAATAATGTAATTTAACTGATTTCAGAAAAACATACAAGAAAATTTTCATGCTGTCACTAAGGATGAGATGGCAAAAGAGAAAACAAATGATACTACATTCAAACCACAGGGTTTCCAGGGCGCCTGGGTGGCTCAGTCAGTTGAGCGTCTGACTCTTGATTTTGGCTCAGGTCATGATCCCAGGGTCATGGGATCCTGAGCATGGAGCCCACTTAAGGTTCTCTCACTCTCCGTCTGCCCCTCTCCTCTACTCTCTCTCCCTCTCTCTCTCAAAATAAAAAATAAAAATAAAACCGTGGGGTTTTCAGCATTAAAAAACAGAACGGTTTGCACACCCATGGCTGGAATAACAAGGACCTAGAAGAACAGTGAGAAAACAAAACTATGACTAAATATATGTGTGTGGCTGTATGTGTTTGAGATGGACCATCTGGGATGCAGACAGAGATGAAATTAGGGGTGCAGAAAGCTTGGGGCAGGATGAGGCCTGTGAGAGAGGAAAGGAAGAGAAGTCAGGACTGGGCAGGTGGGCGGAGCTCAGACCACCATGTGGATTTGACCGAGTCTCAGACAAACTGAACAGCTGCTCCAGAGCAAAGATTACCTGTTCCAGGAGGCCAGGAACAGAAATGGCCAGGCCTCGTACCCCTGCCAAGCTCAGTTATTGGGGGGCTGCCCAAAAAGTGCTCAAAACGAGAGCTGAATCCTGAAGTCCGAACAGCAGGAAATGGTCTAACTGCACTCTCCTTGCAGCTGAAGAGCAAATGCCTTCTGGAAGAGAGCTTTAAAGTGGCACAGCTCCACTTTCGCAGTCGATAAAAGTAGAATGATGGGAAGGTGGAGAAAAGCCTGCATTTCCACCAGCACAGAGAGCACTTTAATTTTCTTGCACCTTTAACAACATTGAATATTATGAATATGTGGTTGGGTTTTTTAGATTTTCAAGTTTTCCATACATAACATTTTCTTATCATTAAAAAAAAATTGTTTAACTTCATAAT